TCATAAACTCAACGCGATTGAAGTTCATTTAAATCTGATAATAATCATATTTCGATATCATATTTTCATTATATTATATATATCCTTTCATAGGAAATTAGATATGAATTATGTCATCTTTATCTAAATTTATTAATCAGCGATAAGATAAATGATTGGTTATTTTGTTTTGGATGTATTTCGAGTAATTTCATTATCAACCAGTCAAGAAGGTTTTTTTTATGTTCAAGATGTCTCATGTGTGTTTCCTATAATATCATCGCTCGAATATTGACTCGTTTCTGCTCGTGGAATAAACCGCTAGGTAACTCCCACGAGTATATTATATATATCTATATCTATAAGGGAATAGTGAGAGAGAAAGAGAGAAAGAGAAATAAAAAAGGCAAGGTAGACAAAAAGGAACGTTAGGTCTTTTTCTTACGTGTGATACCTCGATCTTCCTAATATCATTTTTCCTTCACGAAAAGGTCGGATATATCACGAAAATTCTTGTTTTGTTGGACGTATCATTGTATAGTAGTATATTACATATAGGTATAAATACATATATGCCGAAAAGAAGAAATAAAAGAAAATAAAAAGTAAAGGAAGAGACGGACAAGTACTTACATACTTTCGATTACTAGTTAGAAGGTCTTGTAACATGAGTTCTTATGCATTGAGATAATACCGTTCAACGTTGTTAAACCACCTGTTATATACGTGACAAGTCATTACTTATGAATATAAATCCATGTTCATAGTATATCTTATTTTTGATTATATGATGATATTCATTTTTGAAGCGTTTCGTTCTATCGATATATATATATACATTTTTTTTCTATCCAAGAACGTGAAAAAAGCAAAACCACACAAGATCGTGTTTAATTTCTTCGAAAAGAAATATGTCGTTATCTTAATCGTAGTCGTCGTCTGTTAATTTCTCGAGGACAGGAAAATACAATTAATTTCATTGTAATTAATTAAATATTGTACGTCCAACAACGCCAACGTCTTAGCTTGCCGTGATACATCTAATCATGTGTGGTTGTGCTTTTATACGTTTTCCTTGGCACGAAAGACGTCATTCGCAGTGCCATTGAGGATGTTCTATCCCTTTTGTTCAGTTTGGAAAGGACGAAGAAATTGTCCTCTTCGTTCCTCACTTTGCGGATATGTGTTCAGTATGTACGTATAGAGATATGAAGAAATAAGAAAAGGGTTGGGCACACATAAAACCTGGTGAACCTCGAGGAAACTCTTCTTTTCACCCCCCCCAAGCCCCCAGCCCCCTATCTTTCTCTTGCTTCGTCTATGATTGCGACACGAGCTTGAAATTGCTTGAACAGAAGGAGACCATTTCTGTTCTTGTCCTTCCACAGTCGTTATTGTAGTAGTTCAGAAATGGACAAGAAAACAGACAACAGCTGTTCGAGTGTTTCAAGATAAAAGAGGGAAAGAAAGAAAAGTTCGTTTACCGGAACGACGAAAGGCTTAAGTCGTGCTTAAAGTTTGTTCGAGCGTAAGGAAACGATTTTACACGGAAATCGCGACCTCTTTCACTAGAGTTCCGAGTTCTTTTCCATAGGCCTCCATGAGTATTTTTTTTACGCTTTTGTTAAGGATGTTGTGAATATACTCATTTAAATCCATTAAGGGGACACGATAAAAAAAAAACATACTTACTCGTTCAGTTTTATTATAGTTATGAATAGAATTGTTGTTGTGGATTACGTGTTGTTAATCGTAATAATTAAAGAATAATTGTATTTTACAAAATAATGATATATGTGACTTTATTTTTGATGAAATAAAATTGATCGATAATTTAATAATTTATTGTTAAAGGTTTTGTGATTAAAATTTGTTTTAAATTAAATTTAATCAGCGAATTTCTAACGAGTATTTAAAAATATTTTCTTTATTAGATTTTGTTCAACAATGGTAATTAAATAAATACTGTAATTTGATTAAACATTTTATATTCATTATTTAACAAATATTCGAAACTATTTTATTATTTCTCTAAACTATAATAATAATGTACGAATAATAATTTCTTTAGGTTGATCAAATAATTTTTATATTTAATCTAGTTGCCTAATTAATATCTAAAATTATTTAATTACGTTTTATTTAACATCCTCTTTATAATAGAAGAAATATCCTTGACTTCGAGTCTCGGTTAACCGGATAACCTTCCTATGTTGGATTACGAAATGTGAAAGTTTCATTGCTAAAATTTCGTCCCTTCTCTTATTTTTATTATTAACACCAATACTCTTTTCCGGTATTTCGAAAAAGATAAAGAAATTATTTAAAAAAAAAAAAAAAAAGAAAAAACATTAAAAAAGAAAGAAAGAAAGAAAAGAGATCGTTTTACTGTACAGTTACAACAAAATCCTTCCACTTGTTTTTCCTATTACTTAACTGGAAAGAGAGAGAAAGGGAAAGGGAAAAGGAAAGGGAAAAAGGTTGGGAAAGGAAAAAATATCGTTCTCGCGGTCTATTCGTTACGCGCTATCTCAGCCGTAACACCAGCTTGAAAACTCATTACTCATTTCGGGACGTAGTGTCCGTAATTGCGCGTCCCTTAATTACTCTTCACAACGGTACGTATACACTACTGGCTTTTACACTCTGCAACGTTGCTTGGAACTCTGGGAAATGAGAATGTTCTAAGATACCATACCACATGTATAGAAACAATCAACGAAAACCATTCGTTTCTTTATTTTTTTTTTTTTGCAATCGTACAAGGATTATCTCCTATCTTAAAGATATTAGGTCAGTGAATTGTCAAAAAAAAACAGTTACTTTTCATTAAGGAAGTAGAAAAAAAATATTCGTATCATTTTCATTATTATCAATACTGTTTACATTTAATGCTTTTTTTTTTCGTTCTATTGAAATATTTGAAACATATAAAATTTGATGATTCGATTCCGTGGCATTCAAAGATGGCAGACTTGCTAAATCGTCGCCATCTTTCTCTCGTTAGACGATGATATTACATGACGCATGACGCCGATTTGAAAAACGAAAATTATTACTTTTGTTATGGGGGATATTTTATTTCTTGGCGTGAAATGTCTGTATCTTTTTTCAAGTAAATGTAACTTCCGTGTTAGTTTACAAACATTTGTAATATTAGAGGAAAAGACAGACAGCCGGACAGACAGAGAGGGGACAATCATCTGCTGTATACGTCAGATATACGGGTAATGTATAAGATAACAATATATATATATGTAGGTGTTTCGAGATATCATGGAAAGTTAGGTAATTCTCTGGAAACGTGACGTACCTTGATGGAGGTGTACACATACACCCATACCGACACATATGTTTCTCTTTCCTTATTTCTTCCTAAAATCGAAAATGATATCATATTGTTTTAATATCAGATGAATTTTTTCTTAATTCTTTTACCTATTGTTAGTTATCCGAACAAGTTATTTCCGGAACAGGGGAAGGAAAAGCTGCGAAATATTAATGGTTACACTGAACTGAGGCTATCGCTCATTGTTCGCTCTCTAGAATCAATACATTGTCGTGGTTGTCTCTATTACTATATGTGTATGCATATATATATATATATATATTGTACATAGGTGCATGATTATTACATACACACATTTATATATACTTACGAACACACGAAATCGTCCGAACAAAATATATATGTGCATGGCTATATTACATATGTCATGTTGTGTGTATGTGTATCGAGGGGAGAGGGGGGTATACATGTTCACTAATGTTGCCCAATAATCTTGTGGCTCGCGAACACGGATTCTCAGCATTACGCAGAAGTTTTTCACCATTACGAAACCTTACTGACAATACAAAACTGTCTTTTAAGACAATTATTGTAATACATTTATAATTTTTATTTGTTGGAGTTTAAATAATTTTGAAAAATATTTTAAACTATCTTTTTGTTCTTTTAATATTAAGAAATTTGATTTATTTGATTGTAAATTATTCCGAATACTAGTGTTTCTCCATAGTAGGCGAAGATGAGAAGAAAATTAGGAATGAATATTATAAAAAATACTTTTTTCAGCAAAAATTTCTAGGCTCTATAGGAAAGTTTGACTACATTTTAATAAACTATTTTAAAATTACTTATATGTATACTTATATTACTGATGCCAAATCCGATCATAAATAAAAAAATATACTTTGGTAATAGAAATTTTCTGTGATGTTGGAATTTACATTATCGAGAAAATATTATCAGATGACTTTAAGACACTTTCAACAATTTTGTTATCACAACGTGGTCAAAGTTGATTTAAAAAAAAGGGAAAAAATGTGATTTTTTAAACCATTACGTACATCAACAATAAATTTCTCCAATTGAAGATGTTCGAAATATCGAGAAAAAAATGTTTCATTTGTCGAATCATTCTGTACATAAACGTTAAATAAATAATTCGAATGTGCTCGTATAAAAAGAGCTTAATTTTAAAAATGCACGCTCCCACGTCTGCAATTGATGTTAATTCGTGGATAAAGCTAATGACGAACGTTTTATCGATGCTTCGTCGGTACCAACCCTGATTTCGCAAATCAATATTGGAGCTTCGAAACGGGCGATTAAGCGATAACGGAATTCCTTCCGCTTGTATTGTACAACAGAGACTTGTTACAAAATTTATCTCTCTTTTCCTATCTCTCTATCTATCTATCTCGTGATTATAAATTTTCAACATCGATAATTTCTATTTATATTCTCTCATCGATAAATTTTCTATAATTTTCATTTTCGATATCAATAAAATATCTGTTGAAAAAAAAATAATAATCACCTTCATTATCTCTATCGATAACTTCATTAACGACAATGTTAAGAAATAATTAATTACTATGAATAGAAAATGATGAATTATTTTTTCATGAATTATTTTCTTGATTACATATATATACTAGGTTGAGTAACAATGTTGATTGAACAAACTAACAAAAAAAATACAAAGTAAAAGTTGGTGTCTGTTGAAATTTTCCAGGGGTCTTCCCTGTGGTGTTCAACCTCCGGAACCGGTACCGGATCCTGATGGCGACAAGTTGGCAACTATCGCGGCACGGTTCAGTTATTTTCAAGATAGAAAGAACGCGAGTGGTCCGACTAAGGTCGACCTACGTAGAAGTATAAATCCACCAGCTAGATATAAAAATGCACGGCCGACGGTCCGGTTGAGGCCACGTCAAGTTCTCTGTAGCAAATGTCGGTCGATTTGTAACGAGAATAGCGAGAACGTTGACGTGAGTCGAAAACGAAAGCATGATGAGGAACAACAACAGCAACAACAACAACAAACTCAACAACATTCGCAGCAACAGCAGCAACCAACTCATCAACAGCAACAAAATGTACCTACGAGGAGAAGTGATCGTCAACGCTGTAGTCAGCAACCGCAAAAGAATCAAAGAGCATTCTTTTCGGAAAATACGAATACGGCGATGACGGCGACGATGACGACAACTGTGATGAAACCAGCAACATCCTCGTCGAGTCCTGACTCATCGAAGCTTGGTACCTCTTCTTTGATACCAAAACTTTCAAGATTACAACCGAACGAGATTAGCAACGCTATGCATGGACCTGGTGAGTCCTCAAAGAGTCTCTTACGATAGATTCGACAAAATAACTAAAATAAATATAACACACAGACATATACACCCGATACAGTCTCTCATAAACGTCTCGTTCAGAAACTGATATCGCGACCTAATTTCGTAGGTAAGGAAGAACTAACAACTGGAGTACCGTCTACCTATTGGAGTAGCAGCAGTGAGGCTGATGATTCAAGCAGGAACACCCTAACGCGTCCGGAGGATCGAGCCGAGTCTACGGATTGCGATAGTAATCCTTCGATGGCTTATTGCGCAACACCAAGAAGATTGAGTAGTTCTTCGGTGGAAAGTGCAAAAGTACCTGAAGAAGAGGACAAGAAGACTTTGGCTGCGGCTGATTCAACCGTGAGACCGAGGATTGGTCGAGTTCCAAGGAAAAAAAGATCGGTCGGTTCCATGGAAGATCTTTGGGACGAGTCCGTGTTCGAGGATCCAACGAGAACTACCAGGACCACGCCTATTATAAAGATTTCTTTTGGTGCTCAAGGCGAGGGTACCGTATTGAAGATACCTTCGAAGATTCAGGACCCGGAATACGAACAGGAGACCGATGATCAGGACGACGTACAAGCTGAAACCGATCGAGATCCTTTGGAATTGCCACGGAACTTCGATAATGGTTACGACTATTGTGAAGATGCCGAAGACGATGGGCAAGAACAGATAGATCCACAAAAGCAGGGTGTAAAAGACGCCAGTGCCAAGGCTGCGAAAAGAGCACTGAAAAAAGCTAAGAAAGAAGCAAGAAGGAAAATGTTGGGTGGTGGTGTATCGCCGGCCAGATCGCCTTGTAATGGTTCTCCACGGTATGTATAAGTAAAGTATATATATACATATATTACGATCTTTTTCAGATAGTAATACAAGATTTTTATTTCATAGATACAATACCAGCTATGATCCCTTACTTTATCATCGTCGTAAGCATAAAGTGAAACATAAGAAAAAACACAAGGATGATCGCAAACACAAGAATCAACAGCAGCAGCAACAACTGCAACAACAAGAAGAGCAACAACAGGAATCCTGTGTGGAATCTGCTGGTACAACAACAACAGAATGTCAACAAAATTGGAATGTTTTACCGGATGGTGAAACGTATACGGCCATAAAGGAACAGTGCCTGAAACAGAAACTCTCGATCTCTTTGAAGAGGCTGAACACGAACGCTTATGCAAGATGCGATTATCCCGTGAGCAACGCTTCGTCCGGCTGTAAAAGCCCGGGTGCCAGTAGCGACGAACTCAGCGAACAGGAGGCTGAAGTGGACGCTGGAGAAACTGCCCCGGATTTTCCACCTCAATCGCACCCTCTTGTCATGCGTTTGGCAGCAACACCAGTGGCTCATTGTCTCACTGCCAACGGCAGGAGGATGGATGTTGGGGATGTTGTATGGGGAAAGATCCATGGTTTCCCTTGGTGGCCGGGAAAGGTATATACACCCCTACACAGACATGCGCGCGTGCGCATAGTTATCATATACACGGAACATTTATCTGACAGAAAACTATGTTTGTTAATATCCGTTAACGGGTTATAATATTTACAGGTTTTAAGTATTACGGTTTCCTGTAAGGAAGATGGTACGTCATCTGGACCACAAGCTCACGTAGCTTGGTACGGTTCCTCGACTAGTTCTCTCATGTCCTGCGATCAGCTGAGTCCCTTTCTCGAAACTTTTAAGGTATCGATTTACCTTCTAGCGCGATCAAATCAATTGTAACTTCGAAATAGATTATGAACTTGTATATTTTTAAAACAGAGAACTATCTTTCTCTTTTCTCCTATTATTCTTATATTTCAGACACGGTACAATAAGAAAAAACGAGGACCCTACAAGGAAGCTATAAGACAAGCCCAAAACGAAGCACGCAGTCAGATAACTCCAAATTCGACAAGCAGTGTTCTCAATGTTTGTGGTTCACCTCGCGAGGTTAACGTTCTCTCCTAAAACAAAAGAAAAGATAAAAATAGAACATTCTCGTTCCTCTTTCTAATCTATTATATTATTGCGATGATATTGAACAACACGCCTCGGAATTTTCTTCGTATACATGTAAATTTTTGTATATAAAAAGTTTATTATTATTATTATAATAACTTTAGTTTAATGCGCTTAAACGCGACACGATTACTGACGATCGATGTTTGCACTGAAAAAAAAACTACATGTGACCGCTTATTATTTAAGCGTCGTTTTACAGTGAACCAACTGTAAAAGAAAATGGTAAAGGAAAAGTTCACTGCCAGCATTATTTTCGTATGCATGTAGTTTACAAGAGAAGAAATTTTACATTATTATTATTATTATTATTATTATTATTATTATTATTATTATTATTATTATTATTATTATTATTATTATTATTATTATTATTATTATCTTGTACGAGGATATATAATTGTGTTTGTAGTAAGTGTGAGGATTTAGAGAATGATTTTTTGTATCAGTTTACAAAATGATTTTTAAGAGTTGGCATAAATAACTACCTCTTTGAATTTTCATCGTTAGGTACGAGATGGATGTATGTAGGAGAAAGAAAATCTGTTATATCACATGTTAGTTGATTCGTTTATGTTTTTTTTTTTTTCTACATATTAGATTTATTTACGTGTATGTGCATTTCTAGATTACGAGCAGTCTAACGATGGCAGTGAATTTTTTATATCAGCTGCATTTAATATTATTGTGTTTTTCTCCAGCTTAAATTTGATAACTTGTAAAGATTGGTCACAAAATACAAAAATGAAAAAAAAAATAAGTAGATGAAACTTGTCGAATTTTAACAAGTATATTATATGGTGTACTCAATGACGGTTAGGTGAAAAATTATTGATGTGATCGATCTATTTTTGAATCTGTGACGAATATAAATGAAATATTTTTTTTTTTTATTAATACGTACGTTTTTACGGCCATGTACTTTTTTGTTTGTATAAATCCACTGGCTCGTTTGATTTGTTGTTTATTAACAAAATCTTTTTGAGGGTTTTCTCGCTAAGTAGTATTTTTGACAAATAAAATCATTGAGAGATAATCTTTATTATTAGGAAGAGTTATGCGTAAAAAAAAAAAAAGAAAAAAGTTTATTTATTGTCTTATACAAAATCGGTGAAATTAAAAGAAAAAGAAAGAAGAAAAAACACTAAAAAGATATAAAGAAAAAATATGATCTAAAGAAAGTTTATATATCTTTTCATTTAAACAAATCAATTTTATTCAATCGCTTTTGATGAATGAATTATTTATGTTATATATAAGTACCATAGAATGATCTTAGATATCGTTTAATGCGAGATAACCGATTTTCACATTTACTATACCTTAATTTATATATATATATAATATATATAATATATACACAAACAAAGAGAATACTTTTTCAATGAACAGTAAGAATAATTTCTTACTCCGGAAACTCCTCTCTTTCTAGTAAACGTGTTCAGGCCTTGTTTAAATTTTCATGCCGCAACACTGCCGTAATTAAACGACAAAAAAAAACTTACGCGTTCCTCTTACTCGCCGTATCGATAATCGTTAAGAAAAAACAATATTTTCGTTTAAAATTTTTTTCGTAACTGCCGTTATTGTTAAAAAATGAAATTAAGAAATGAAATGAAAGAAAGAAAGAAAAAGAAAAAAAAAGGAAAAAAAAAGATGAGTGGATTCCGAGACTTTCAAAGAGCCAACACTATACACATGCATTTATAGAATTTATTTGAAAATTCTACAGTGCAAGATGCTTCCTTCGTACTGTCTATCAAAGAATGCGAATGTTCTATACCATATATATATATTTATATATATATACATACATGTATATTTAAACGTTTGTAAATATCAAAACACTTACTAGTCCTTATCAAACCAAAATATCGAATATGTTGAAATGTATTTTTTTCTTTTTTCATGATAGAAATTTCTTTCTTTCTTTCTTCCTTTTTTTGTATTTTTAATTTTTTAGTTATCAATATATACCAGTTTTGTTTTTGTAGTCTTACGTGTAAGAAGAAAATAAAAAAAACGGAATTCATCCATCTTTGATAATAATTAAAGATGAAAAATAAAAAAAAATGTGATAAAAAAATGATTGAAATACATGAAACAAAAACTCATATATAAACACATGAACAT